AACCTCCAAAAGTCCCAAAGCTTTATAAACTGACCCAAACTCGGAAAACAGAAAATTGTCTCTTCAGTTCCTCCATCCCAAATCAAAAACTTTTTCTCAGATATTTGACAGAATTTGCAAAAAGCCATGGCCTTTGTTCTTGAAAACACAGTTTTGGCAGTTCTGTTTTTCATCTTAACTTCTTTAGTGCAGGTTTCCATTGGAGAGGTTCATAAGGTGGGAGATTCTGCAGGTTGGACCACCATTGGAAATGTTGATTATAAGCAGTGGTCAGCCAAAATAAATTTCCAAATTGGTGATGTCATTGGTATGTCTTTTCTTCTTCTCCATCCTTTAATGTATCTGTATCTGTAGACTCGTATCAAGTTCTGTGGGGTCAAATATCCATGGTGCTTGTTTTTAAGACTAATGTTATTTGTAGTGTGTGATTTCATAGTCGTATTATATAGTATCCTATGTGTCAGGATTTTAATAATAAAAAAGAAGAAGAAAACAATCAAATGGAATTTTATATTAATAATGAAATGATCACACGTCGCTACTTCTTTGACTACGAATAAAATTATTATTATTTTTTTAATTCAAATTTTCTTTTTTCTTTTAATTGGCCTACAAGCTTAGTGCTAAGTGGGCTGGATAGCATTGAACTACTTTGATGCCATTAGGTAGAGATGGATAAAGGTTGCCATAGATTGAATGTAAATATTTGAGAGCGTAGAAAGACAACTACTGTAATATATTTTGAGAATTTCTGTTGTGAGACACCTTATAATAAATATATTTGTCACATGTGGAACAACTAGTGGTCGAGATTCGAGAGCACCAACCATTAGGTGGGATCAAATGGACAATGAACCTATTGTGGGGTTTTGTCAAATCACAAAATATTCAAATTTCCAAGCCTCAAAATATCCAAGTCCTACTAGCTCGTCAAATTGCACGCCTTATAATGATGGCCATTAATCTCACATTGCAAAGCAACCCAATCATCATTCAAGAAAAAGACAAAAAAAGGGTTTTATCTACCAACTTTTTTGAAGTGATGAAATTCATATTAAATGTGAAGATATTGCAATCAAACTGTCCTTGGAACAAGTATTGAATCAGTTTCTTAATTAGGTTGTGCTATTGAGGAACAAAGAAGGAAAGTAAAAAATCATGATCGTTAAATAGCCACATAATATCGAGTAAGACACTCGCCTCTAGCATGCACGGCATGTTCCAAAGTGTAAGAATATTTCAATTTCCGATTTTATGCATGTTATCTTTCTGATTATCGAAAGGTCTCGATCTTAGTGTATTGGGATTTGGGCATATTTAATTTGCTGAAATATAAGTCATATTTCCACTAGACTAAATTCCAGGCTCTGCCCCTGCCCTTGCCTCCACTAGACTCGATTCCATTCTTGTGTACTCATATTTCCATGACATTTATGACCAATTTTAAGATCATCTACTTAACCATTCTGTGTTTTGTTCTGTGTACAGTTTTTGAATACAACCCTCAATTTCACAATGTGATGCAAGTTACACATGCCGAGTACAGGTCATGCAATGCATCTTCTCCCATTTCTACTCACACAACTGGAAATGATTCCATAACCATCAATACTCGTGGCCACCACTACTTCATATGTGCCGTCCCCGGTCACTGCCAGTCTGGACAGAAAGTCGATATCAACGTTCTTCGTACTCCTTCTGTCGCTCCTTCACCTTTTGCATCATCCTCTCCGGTTGACACTGTACCTACACCTTCTCCAAAAGATGTGGCTTCATTCTCGGCTTTAAATAAGCCTTTCGAGAAGCTCGGATGGCTATGGCTGGTTTTACAGATTTTACTCGTGATTTTTTAAAATGCTAAATAGAATCTTTTCATTTGTATTTACGAGTTATCTGGAGTATCAGATCGTTGGTGAAAACATTTTGGTTTATTAATTATAGTTTTAGTAATGTACTCAGTATAAGAGTCATAATAAATTTCATTCCAATCAGTTCTTGTTTTCTATGTACTATAGTTGCATAAGAGAACTTTACCTGAAATTGAATTTTCCTTCTTTTTCTTTCTCCAAAACGGTATATATTTCACAATGCTAGTGTTCTTCGCTCCACACCATGCACAGCACAATCGAGAGAAGCAAAATCAAGAATAGATAAATCTTACGCGTGGTCAATGCTGTACCCTGTACTAAACATTGCTCGTGGCATTTCCAGTCGAGAAACCTAAAAGCAATATTCCTAAACAACTTGGAGTTGGGCTTTCTTTTCGCAGTATTATGGATACGAAGATAATGTTCGATGTTGGTTGCTTATCTTTTTTTATCTCTTTTCCTTCCATTCATCATATTTTTGGCTTCGACCAATTCAAGGTGAAAAATGGGGTTGGCCGTGGCTAGGGAAAAAGGAGGGGACAGAGTGATATATTCCAGCCGCATTCAAGATTCTTCCATGCCGAAATTATTGAAATTTCAATTGCTTAATAAACAAGTAATTCCCACCAACATGCATGCATGAAGGATGAAGAAGAAAATTTGAATTAAAAC